TTCTCTCTCTCTCTCTCTTTCTCTCTCTCTCTCTCTATGTCTCTAATAATGTTTTTTCTTATATATTCTTTCGCACTCAGTAACCCCTCTGCGTCTTAGTGGTTCTACTTGGGTTGAAATGATAAACGTGTTTATGCACTTGGTATATTGTGTGCTTTTTGTTGGGATGTCTTGGCACTTAAACATATATATAATATATAAATATAAATAAAATATTTAAAAATTTAATATTTATAAATATACATAAATTATTTACTTATATAATTATTTAAATTATTGTATTTATTAAAAATATTTATTTTTTAAAATAATAATTTAAAACTAATTTAATGATTCAAAATTAATTAATTATATAATAATTAAAATTATTACGATATGCAAATATATGTAAAGTACATGAATATCTAGAATACTTAATTTTCTTTTTTCGGTCCACAGAACCAAATAATTACATTCTCCGGACATCGGGATGAACTAAATGAGTAAGCCTTTTTCAATGTTTTCTTCTTTCTTCGTCTTTTCCAATACTCAAAGAAAATGAAACTTTGTCAAATTCTAATAAAAATCAACAAAAATGTCAATATAGGCACAAAATGAAAAGTATGATGGCCGTCTAATCTCGGAAAAAGTTATCAACACTAAAAATTTAATCAAAAATTAAGGTCGTACTTCAAATTGCATATTTTATTAATCGGTTTTAATTAGCTTTTTTATTATAAATGTAATCCGTCTTGTTTTCAAACAAGTTGTATCTAATTACTCATACTGAATATCCTCCTCTTGCCCTTCTCCTCCTCCTCTCCCTTACGTCTTTTCATTCCCCCCACCCGCATTCCACTCATCATCATTCTATTTCTATTTGTATATTTAGATTGTTTATCCTGTGTGGTGTTCCTGGTAATTATGCCATCCGTAAATCACGAAAAGAAACAAAAGCGGTAAGTTGAATTATGTACACATTTCTTCGTCTTTTCAAACTGCCAGCTAACAGTCCAAATGTCAGCACAGTATAGTAGGCTGAGTTGGGCACTGTCTGTGACAAAAAAGATCACAGTGACGCAATTCAATCCGCCAGAAATTTGAAAACAGCATGTTGTACTGCTTGGCATTCGCACCGGAAGCTCCAATACGAAATTTTAGAGTGTTTGGGTATCAACAGTGCAGAGCATTCAGAAAGAGTTGGATGAGTCTAATTGTGATTACGAAGGTACGGCAGCTCCGAAAACTCACACTTATCAGAACGATCAGAAACTCGCGAATTTGTTGGTAAGGGCCTCAGACACAACACGAAGTGCCTTGAGGAGGTAGTGCTGTCCTGGGTCAAGAGGGTGGCTGCCAGAAGACTCTATGTCTAGCAACAGGACTCGGCACTATGCCACACAAGCTGGAGAACCCAGTCATGGCTCTTAGACAATTTCTGCGAACACATACACACGCACACACACAGACACACACACATACATACATATATATATATACTTGTATATTTAACAAAAATCCTTCCTTTGTACATGTTTCATTAAAAAAGACAGACAAGGTACTACGGTTAAGCTTTTTATTTAATTTTTCTTGTGTTCTGACAAGAGCTTTCTTTTCTGGACAAAGGGTGTGTAAGAACTGTCCGAATGTTTTATATTTCCGAGCGCTTTCGGCTATACCTTTAGCCATTATCAAGGATGATTGGATTTTTCAGTTTAATTGAGTGTGTGGGTTCTGTGTATGTCTTAGTGTGTGTTAGGAATGTTTTTAATTTCCGAATACGGTTAGAAAATTAAATAAAATGCTTAACAGTAGTAACTTGGTTGTCGTTTTTAATGAAACATGCATATATATATATATATATATATATATATATATATATATGTGTGTGTGTGTGTGTGTGTGTGAAAGTATTACACATTGAGTGTTGGTGCTAATAAAACAGTGCTCTATGTATAATAGCAGAGATAATATTTATATTAATAATAAATATACATGTTTCCTCACAACTCTGTTTCAAACACGATGCAATCGTCTAGTGTGTACTGCAAACTGACTGTAGCAAAGATTATATATTGACAGTTATATAATAGTGAATTACTATTTCATAATCTCACAAATCTTAACTCCTGGACATCAACTGAATGTCATGAGTTTGGGTTTTTGATATTGACCAGCCAGTTTTTCCCACTGAGATGTTAGGTAAGAGGGGAGATCAGTTGCTAGGCTCTGGTCACATATACCGTTGTATCAACGGCATTCATATAAACAAATGATCGGGGTATACTCTTATGTAAATTATTAGAGTAAAGTAGAAAGTTGAACCGAGAAGCTAGCCTTGGGGGAATGCATTCGTTAATCACTTGGGTCTTGACTTATGTCATCCCTCAACATTAATCTATTTGATCTCTATGTCAAGATATTGATTAATCAGTGGTCTCACGGTAGCGAGAATACACTGAAAGCCGCCATTTGAGACATTATGCCCAGCATGAACGAAAACCACATGATTGACATCATTTCCAAGGCCGTCCTCGGGTCTGAGGGAGATTTTAGCTAATAACGCTTTTTATCTAAGTTGAATATGTGTAAAGCACTTTTTAAAAATATTGACATTCTCTTACAATATATATACATATATTTATTTCAGTCTTACTATTCATTTATTTAATACTGCAATTATTATGCCATTCTTACTATTTAAACCCTCCATTTGTCATTACACCCATTATGGTTTAGCGTTCTCGTTGCAATTATTATTTCATTCTCACTATTTCACCACCACCATAATTACCATTGCCGCATTATTTTACAATTATACTCAGCCTCCCCTATCAAATTAGTGCCAATTTTCCGTAAAAATACCAAAAAGTATTATAAAATAGAATTTCCACAATTTATATAAGTGTAATCGTCTGCAACACACAAATAAGAAACGTTAAAAATAATAGCAATATTATAATCTTATACAAAATCCATTTTAAGTAATGCAAAACCCAGACGGATAGAAATATATGTACACATACACATGAGTGTATGTGTGTGTGAGATAGTACTATTCCGTTAACAAAATAGTAAATTGATCTGTAAGATGGCAGCAACACCCCAGCCCGCCCCTTGTTGAAGGTAATTCCCTACATAATTCCAACACCAAAAACAACGACAGTTGCGTAAGTATAGACATAGCGACACATGGAAACATGTCTGTGCCCAGTCCCATACTGTTCATAAATGTATATGTTTGTGTGAACTACAATACGTACACCAGAATGTATCATGTATGTATGTCTGTGTACGTATGAGTAACATCCCGAAACGGACACAGAGGAGAATTTTTCCTCCCATTACCATCACACACCACCATACTACATAACCAGAAATAAATTCAAAATTTAGTTTGTCTAATGATCGCAAGGGTGTGAAACCCAGGGTCACAAACTTACATCAATATATATATATATATATATATATATATATATATATATATATATTTGTGTATTTAGGCAGCAATCCTTCTTTTATGCACATTTCATTGGATACGACAGACAAGGTGCTTTGATTTTTTTTATACAATTTCATGTGATCTAATATTTTATTTCTTTTCTGATGATAAATTATATAAAAATGTTCTTTTTATCCGAACGCTTTCGGCTATACATTTAACCATTTTCAAGGTTGAGATATATTAACTGTTAACAAGAAACAGATTGTTGTATGTATGTATTTATATAATGTTTTCATTTTCAAAACACAGGCAAGATATTGTGTCCATGTTCATAGTTGATATTATTAGCTTGTTTTTGTTTGTTTTTTTGTTTTTTTGTTTTGCTTTTATTAATAAGGCTTCCATTATTTTTAGCCTTTTTTTGCATGTAGCTGATGCTATTATATTTGTGTTGTGAAGAAGTATGTTACGAATAGTGTCCGGTAAGTCTCCATGAATATTTAAATGAGCTATGTTCAGAAAGGTGTAGTGTGAAGTCTTCGTGTCAAACATGTTGTAGTATGGCATATATAATTATTTACGAATTTTGATTGATCAGGAATACAATTGCTTAATGGGCATTTAAATTTGTAAATATTTGTCCTATGTAATTTTGTTCTAAGAGATTAATTATTATTTTCAACTATAATTTTAGAGGCTTTAAATTTTTTTGTAATAAATAATTAATCTAATTATTTTGCTATTGTCATCTGGTGTTGTGCTTTTTTTTCTTTTTTATTTTTTTCAGTTGATATCAAATAATAATAATAATAATAATGAGAAGAAGCCTAAAGGAAATTGAATGAAGCAGCAGATACCCACTTCGACAGATGTGTTCATCAGGCCAATATGATGTTGATATATTTACTTAGCAAACAAAGACTGGTAACCATTTAGGTCCATCGATATTACGTGCTTTACTGCTCGCATGTGTTTCCTGTTGAAAAAAAATAATTGTAAACACGTCTCTTTGTTTATCAAAATGGTTGTAGTATAATCATCGGCGGAAACATTGCGATGACAACAAAAAGCGTGACTACAAAGAAAAAGTTCAGTCATCCAGAAAACACTGAAGTATATTGTGCCTGTATTTATCATCTTGCTTTGTTTAAATATCTGTTATTTATATCAATTATTATGCTGTCCTGTATTGTCATTCATTACATCCTATTATGAAAGCAATTAGTGGATGGTGTTTTAGACACATTTATCTTTGTTTATTTTATCCCTACCCAATTTCGACTTTTCTCTCGATATTCAGAGTGATTAATGCAATGAAATTATTGTCGCTGTCAATGCTTTACAACACGAATTATTTTTATTCTTGTAGGTTCTCTCTGTTTATACTGGAAAGGAACTAAGAGAATACCTGATAATTCGAAGTGCAAGTATTTTTAATCTATCAATATTTCTATTTCCTTCTTCTTTATCTTATAGGTGTCTCTATTTCTAGTTTTTAGGATCAGGGTTTGAGAACAGATGCACATCCAAATAGTTAATCATCAAAATTTGTATCATTATATACTGATTTAATTCATTATTCACCCATTTCCGAATTCATGTATACTGTAATGAAAAAAATGTCACCATTAGCGGGTTGCTTAGCGTCATTGGGCAACACATGTGAGGCGAGCAACTTAGCAATTTATTAATATCCGACAATCTACATACGGAGAATCAAAAACCATTATAATTTCATTATAATAGGTTAGAATCGGTAGGGTACTTACATTGATAAATTGATCAGATAGATAGATAGATAGATAGATAGATAGATAGATAGATAGATAGGCACGAAAAAATAAAATAAAAAGATATCTGAGAAAGATAGATAGATATGTAGAAACGTAGATAGTTATAAAATAGATAGATAGATAGATAGGAACAAGCTTAGAGAGAAACTAAACAAGATATAGCGATCGAGCGTTAGAGGGACATTGATATGAACACACATATATACGGATATGGATAGATAGATATGTACAGTGAGAGAGAGAGAGAGAGAGAAATACATAGAAACAGAATTAGATAAAGGCATAGATAGATATGAACAAACATATATAGATAGATGGATAGATAGATATTTAAAAACTGTCATAGATAGATTAACTCTGAGATAGATAAATAGATAGATAGATTAAATCTGAAATAAATAAATAGATAGATAAATTAACTCTGAGATAGATAAATTAAATCGAGATAGATAGATAGGCATGAAAAAAAGATAGAGAGATATGAAAATCTGAGAAAGATAGATATGTAGAAACGTAGATAGTTATAAAATAGATAGAAACAAAATTAGATAGCTCGATCAATACATAGATAAATAGATTATATATATAAATATATATATATATATATATATATATATATAAACTGATTTAGGTAAAGAGAGAGATTGATCGATAGACATATATATATACATAGAGAGAGAGAGAGAGATGAAGCAACTGAGATAGATAGATAGATATGAAAAATGAAACAGATATATATGAACAAATTGATATAGATAGAGAGATAGATATGTAAAAACTGATTTAGATAGATAGGTAGATAGATATGTAGAAACGTAGATAGTTATAAAATAGATAGATAGATAAACAGACAGATAGATAAAGTGAATCTGTGATAGATATGAGCCAACTGTGATAGATAGATAGATAGAAACAAAATTAGATCGATCAATACATAGATAAATATATATATATATATATATAGAGAGAGAGAGAGATGAAGCAACTGAGATAGATAGATAGATAGATATAGATAGATAGATAGATAGATAGATGAAAAAATGAGACATATATATAAATAAATTCAGATAGATAGATAGATAGATGAAAAAATGAGACATATATATAAATAAATTCAGATAGATACATAGATAGATACATAGATAGATACACAGCTAGGCATGAAAATTGAGGTATGTACAAACTGATATACATAGAGAGATTGATAGATATGGGATAGAGAGATATGAAAAATTGAGATAGATATACAGATGTGTACAAACTGATAGATAGATAGATAGATAGATAGATAGATAGATAGGAACAAGCTTTGATAGAGAGAAACTAAACGAGATATAGAGATCGAGCGTTAGAGGAATATGAATAAACATATAGATATGGATAGATAGATATGTACAGTGATAGATATGTACAGTGATAGATAGATAGATAGATAGATAGATAGATAGATAGATATGAACCAACTAAGACAGATATAGAGATATATATTGGTTTATCCAAATGTTTTCGTTTATGTAAGTTTTATAAGCGGGGGAACTTTTTCACCAACCCCATTGATATATAGATTCATTGTCAGAATCATTCTCTTTTGTTCTGATAATTTATAATTTTATCCATGATCTATTTAATATTATATATGGATATCACCATGTCATTCTTATTCAGTAATATCGTAATATATATATATATATATATATATATATATATATCAAATTTGTTGCTAAGAGAAATATACTATAATCAAAAGGAATGCTTTTTAGCTATGTTTATTGTTAGGTACAGCTTCTGGGTATAGCTTGTGAAAATAAGGTCATTGAGAATGCAAGATTATTAATATATCGATCTATTTCATTAATTCATTAATTACACATGTAAACAGTCATTCTTGCATATCACTTTTTCAATTTTTACAATTCAAACGCCTTTTTCTCTTTGCAGGGAAACAAGTTAGCCTTAAACATGAAGGTATTCTTTGACGATATTAAGGATCTTTTAGAGTATTATGAGACCTGCTCGTTGCCGAAAACACACGGTCTTTGCCTGACGGAACTTTTTAACACCTTCTAAACAATCAACACGCGTGAGAAGGAATCGCACAAAAGAATTCTAACTTTGACAACAACAAAAATAACGACAGATAATGACAAAATTAGATAGCCTTCAATACATAGTAAAGAGAGAGAACATATATATATATATATATATATATATATATATATATATAGACCTACAATAAATAGTGCATTTTCGAAAACAATAATTAAGGAATATTTCATTGAGATGTGAGCAAAAACTTAACAAATTCACCCACCCTCCACCCATACGTGCATGTATATAATTTGGATGTTTCTAAATATAGCACAAGCAATAACATACAAGACAAAATGAAACTCATTAAAGGTAAATAGAAAAATAAAAACATCTATATACACCTAAACATTAACATTTACTTTTGCTGGCTAATAATTAACTTCTCCCTTATGTAAGTCTACATACGTACATATACATCTTTATTAAAACAAACGCCTTAACACAAAAATTTAATCTTACACATACGCATTTCCATACATATACTGATTTATACATAAACAGAGAAATCCATATGTCCATACACCATTATTATTATTATTATTCACATACTTACATTTTAAGATGCTTACTTTTGGATATTTTCATGAATGACTTTATTCATAAATGAAAAATCAGAAATTCTCCTATAAAATGTATTTGTAAAACCTGATTTAATGTCATTAAAGTGTCTTTTTTTTCTTTATATAGATTCTTCTTTATAACTACAAAAAATGATATATCAGTAATATTTGTCTTAATTCTTCACCGCTGACAATCAGTTTCTTTCTGATTTTCATGTTCATGCTTACTAAAACAAATTTTAGTTAAAAGAAATAGCAATATTTCTTGTCTCAACAACAATTATTTCCTAAAATAGGAAAATTTACTCCATTAGCGCAGAACAAGTGGTGAAGCAATGATAAAGACAGCAGGCAATGATGAAAAAGAAACAAATGTTTTCTTTTAGTTTTTTTTTATCGCGGAATACCGCGTTCAGAGGGCTCCTGACATGAAAATGCAACCGTCATTGTTATTTTATTTTTCATATCACTGTTGGAATTTGCTCTTTCTTCATACAGGAGCTTAAGAAAAGTTTTTAGCCAGGAGAAATAAACTACATCCAATTTCAAAATTTAATTACGTAATCCCTACTCAACATAAATAAACAGTATTTGGAACTAGTTTGGAGTAGGTCCTCCATTTGCTAGTGTCAGTGCTTGTATTCAATTTTTCATGGATTTGATCCAAGTTATCAACACTCATTTGATCCATATTTCGCCACTCCTTTAGCAATGTTTCTTTAAGGATTGCCAAGTTTTTGGTGAAGATGCTCCCAAACGTGCTTCATTGGATTTGTGTCAGAATTCTGGGCTTCCCATGGCAGTGACTTGATTCCTTGCGATTCCTTCTAGGCCTTTGTTACTTTGCACGTATGACATGGCGCTCCATCTTCTTGAAAAAGTTAGACATTCTTGTCAATCTGATTGGTTTCAAATAGTGGGAGTAGTTCTTTCTCTAATATTTTACTTTATTTTGGACCATTCACCCGCTCGTCAACAAGAATCAGCTCAGATTTCCCTCCAAACCAGACAGTGCCCCACATCGTTACTCCAGTCCCTCCATGTTTTACGGCCGCCTGCAGTGTTCCAAGTCTCATTCTGATTTCTCCAAACATAAACCTATCTCGAATTAGAATATCGACAAAATTTACTTTCATCTGACCAAATTACAGAGTGCCAAAATTCAAAATCTTTGCTCTCGAATTCTCTCGCCCAGTCCATACGCCTGTTCCTGTTAACCTCTGAAACCAAGGTCTTCTTTCTTGCAACTCTTTGATAGCCTAGCTCTTTCAGAGACTTTCTCACCACATATGGCCACACTTCCATGCAGTTGGCGACATCTTTGACGCTCTGACGACGGTTTCTGATGACTTCCCTATTCAGTGCTCTTTTCGTTCGCTCAGACACGATACTTGCTCTTCCTGAACGTTGTTCCACACGACAATGGCCTTCTTCATGAAATTTCTTGACTATTATTAACCTCTTGATGATTAACCTGGAAAACCTAGCAATTTATTTGACTTGCCACACTGATGCCATCATATTATTTGCCCTCGTTGAAATTCACTAATTTCCTTACTTCCACAAACTTTCATTGCAAGATATAAGTCAACTATTGTTCATAGATGACAGTAGCTTGAAACTAACACGGTAATGTCTGTAAAAAAAAGAAGAGACATTATTAAACAAGCCAAAATTGCTGGCTGTAATAAATGGAGGTTCAAAACTTATCATAGCCCACTGTATATCCTATTGGTGATAGGGTAGGTTATATTAATAGATTATTTTTGCATGCAGTGCAGTTGGGCTGCGTATTTCTGAAAAAGAATGCTTCTCACAATTCACAAATATAACGAGTTCGATCCTTCATGTGTGCACGACTATTTTTTATTGGAAACTCATATTATTGAAAAATAGAACAATGCCAGATAAGAAAGAAAAGGTGAATATATACGCAGAGAGTGGATGTATGTAGTAAACAATGTTTGGCACAAGGCCACAAAAATTAAGCAGTCACACTTGATAGAACTTAGAAAGCTAAATTGTTAACCAGTACTCTACGAGAAATATGCAGAGGAAGTGTACACGCATGTGCGGGCGTCCAGGCCGACTACGTCAACTATGACATTGATGAATGATGGAAAGAATTAAAGAATTCACTCTTCTTTTTTTTTCTGCTGGTCACTATAGATTAGGTACCTCCACAGAAACATAATACCATAGTTTTAAAATGGATTTTTAAAAATGAAAAATCTTTCTTGAAGCTTTTGTTTTAGTTTTTCAAGCTAATAGATTCAATTTAATATTTCCAAGAAGAAGAATACTTTGCTGTATTTCAAAAATAATTTAAATTGCCTGGAAGGAGTTTTTGTTTTGAAATCACTAAAATCACTGTTTTTAGCGCCATTTTTAGCCATCACAGTGTAATCTACTCTATTAAAAATCTTTCAAAAATAAAATATATTTTTCTGAAAGTTTATTTGAGAAATAATTGCTGATTTAAAGCTTGATTAATCTGATTTGAAACAAATATTAATTACTTTAAGTTTAAAATATCTCAAAATTTCATTTTTAACACGGTGACTGGTGTTTAAGGTGTTGACACTATGACAACGGTAAACATATCTGTAAATACTTGAAGAATGTGAGCGCCTTTTTTATATAACTTTTGCTACCCAGTAATCTTAAAAATTTAGTAAAATATTCTCCGTAATCTGTTATTTTATTGAGTTTTAGGCATTTAAATTTACTATAGCTATCTGTTATACTAGAACATACCTATTCTATTGTAATAGACTCTTCCACATATAATAAGTAGTAGTAGTAGTAGCAGTCGACAGGGGGCTGAGTGAGTTGGTGAGTCAGTCGATGTCGGACATTAACAACCACCACAACTAGATTGCTGCGTCATTAACTATTATAACAAGTTCCTAACGTTTTGTACGTCGAACCTTTTTAGGACCGACTTAGTGAAATAAAAGCCTTCACTGTGAAAACCACTCTACAACACTATCGCTCTTAATTTCTGGTAATGTCTTGCATGGACATCCGTATTTACAAAAAAAAATCAAAATTCTTTTTAAAATACTGGGGGTCGCTGTAAGCTTTTCCATTTCTGTTTAGTAAATGTAGTTTTTACTGAATACTAATAGCACCTAATAATGCAAAAGTTTAAAAGATTTAAAACTTTATAAATTATTCCAATTAACTTTTTCTAAAAAACTGTAGCCAATTCTTGCAAAAATTCATTATTCATCGAATTTTTTTTTTTTACTTAAGACAATAGGCTCCATAATATATGTTATTCATATAAGCAATTAAAATTAAAATTTAAAATTAAACAATGGCTTAGTTTTATTGTATTTTTTTCATTTTTTCAAGGCAGATTTCGGTAATTAGAGTTCCTGCTTTACAAAAAATATCCAAGGTGTATAGATAATATAAAGATGGTACAAAAAATTAATTTCTCGAAATTTCATAAAATTAAATAAATGAGTAAGTAAAAGATGTAAAAAAAATGTTTTTACTAAGATTTTATAAAAACGATACATTTCTAAAATAATTCAGTTATGTATGTGTTTCAATGAAATTCGACAATTTGATATTTGCAAGAATTTCCAAATCAATGAAATCGAATAATTTACCGTAAAAAAATTTCTTTACTAATCTTTGGTCCCCTCGCTAACGCAAGAAAAACAACATTTTTAACCCAAGTTTCGAACGTTTTAAAAATGGATAAAAAAATATAATTTAAAAATCAAAAAATCATTTTGCCTTTTCTCTTAAAAATAATATGAAGATTTTGACAATAAAACTTCGTTTTGATTAAGTGTGGGCCATTTTTTCTTCATGGCGTGCTCATATTGTAGCTAATCTTCTATAAAAGCACTGAATCATCATCAACTGAATGCGTACCTAGGAGAAAACCATTAGCAATCAAGAATGCATCCTTTTGTTACACTATTGCGATTAGGATTAAAAGAGTTCATGTAAAAACCCCGTATAGGAATTGGAGAATTGGAAGG